CGATGCACTTTATCTCCGAGGTTTCAGGCTCTGGGTGAGCGCTTACACGCGCTCTTCGTCGCGCGCGGTGGACATGGTGTTGAGCATCATGGGCCTCTTTGGTGTGAGCCTGGACGCAGGACGGTTTGGGCAAGACGACCGGATCAAAGCGACGATCGCGATGCTCCGGGCACTAATGGCAAATCCCCGCGCGACGGCAACCTGGCTCTACATCGCACCCGGCATGTCACCGTCCAGGGAGCTCTCTACGTTGCCGCAGATGCCAGAAACAAGCGAAAGCGGGCGCGCGTACATTCATACGACAAAGGGCCGGGTGCTCGCATTTGAGGCTATCGGGGCGCGAGATAACAACATCTGGCGTACCGACGGCGCCCCAAGAGGGGAGATGACAGACTCTGGCTATTTCATTTTCCGGAGCAAGGCCGCTCTGCTGGTCTACGAGGACGAGCAGAGATCTCCTCTTGGGTGGAAGGCGTACGATGATCGCGAAACGTGGGCGGTCGTCGTCGGCCGATTCAAGAACTTCTATCGTAATCCGGTTACGTGGAAGCTACAAGCGTGGGATCCTGCTACGTCTGCTAAACCAGAGGGATTGTACGAGCTGACCCTCATGCTCATAGAGAAGCATGGACATGAGTTATACCACCGCGTGGGGATGGAGAGGGAGATCGACGAGAGGAAAGCTGCGGGGTGGGATTGGAAGTACCGGCGTTTCCAAGTCGGAGGGCCGGGTAGGGGAGAGAGAAAGAGATTCGGGGTATCGCCTTCTAGCCCCGTTTATTTGACTTGTGCAGAGGAAGAAGAAGATATCAAGGCCATATGCGTAGACTAGCCGTGTTATTTGTCACAACGAACAGCTTCATAAAAGCCTACAATACACGGAGACCAGAGATGCAGGGCAGCGGCCTTGAAGGCAGCAATGATGCGGTCCCGCTTTATGGCAGAAAAAATTTTGAGATACTCGACGGAATATGCAGCCTGCGCTGTAGAAACGGCATCAACATGGTTCAGTCAATAGAAGAGTGAGAAAGATCATACCAGACCACCAGTCGTTGCAGCTCAGGTCCTCGGCATCTCCGGCCGTAGCCTTCCGTGCATTTCCACAGGTCTCGCTAGAGAGATTATAAGCATATTATACCTGTGCATTGTGCCAACCGTGTACTTGACGGGGATTAATTATTCCAGTGCCACTCACGGCAGCGGCGACGGAAGCGAGGACTCCGAGAGATTGATCATACGAGATAGACTTCGCCCCTTGTATGCACTAGAGACGCGCTACGGCGAACACCGAGCACGAGATCATCCGGAACGGGCCAAGGCGTTCCTACAGCTATTGAAGTTAGAAGAAAGGCGTAAGATACCGTCGCCACACACCTGCCGTTGCCGAAGAAAAAACCACCCTTATGCTCGATGTACTCGAACAAATCCACTGCAGAGAGGGCGTGGTGCGGGGCAAGACTTCGGCCCGAGAGAAGTATCACCGTCTGCACTTGTAGACGGCGCGTCCAACCGGACGAGGGCGTGAGAAAGGGATGTTTGACACCGGGAAGGCAGAATAGTGCGCGGCACGGGTGCAGAGAGCGGCGCGGCGGCGCAGAGAACATGGAGCACAAAGAGTGCCAAGGGCTGCGCTGGTGAGGAGCACGATGTGGTAAAGTGCCGTAGACTCTCTTGAGCCTCCCACCTCCCTAGTATCTCCGTGCACCATCTCGCCCTCTCCGCGCCCACTTTGCATCCAGGAAGCGGGAAGCGCGCCGCTGTCATCGCAAACAAAGCAGGAGAAGAGCGCGGTGAGGCGAATTGAGTGCAAATTAGGCGTTATGGGGGTGCATAGGACGCGAGGAGCACGGGGATGGTGCTCCTAAGATGTGAAAATGCGAAGATTAATCGAAGGACATGGCGGCCCGGTAGCAGTGAAGGCAAGGAGTGCAGGGCGAGGCCAGAGCATGCATATCAGGTGCTCGCAGCTGTGATGGCGCTATAAATGACATGCACATAGACCTTGACTGAGCAGCTGACAGGGTCGAAGCCCGTCTTATCGAAAAAGTTGTCCCATTCTTGACTCCAAGCACATTCAAGCCGATACGAGAGAAAGCGATATGCAGACTTGGGTAGGTGGTGAAGACAAGCTCTACGGATGATCCAGCACGCCAGTTGCGGTCCGCCAGCTCGAGGATACAGCTGACGTCTTTCGCGGCGGACGGCTTGAACTCGGTGAGAGCGGCGCGGAACAGCACATGTCCTCGATGCATATATATATATATATATATATATACATATATATGAAACTGGCAGGAAGCCGAGGCGCGACGTACCCTCAGGAACAAGTAGATGACACCG